TTAGAAAATATGGTTTTATGTCCATATGTCTTCCAAGTTGCTATAGGGCATCTATTTGATCTGAGAAACTGACTGCTCTTTAGATCCAGGCATGCAATATGACGTTAGGGTCAAAGTAGAAAGGAAGCAAAATAAAATAAGTTTCATAAGGAAAATAATCTTATAAAGACTAACATGTCTTGGGGGTAAAATGCGCATGTATTTTACACAATAAAAACAATGTTTAATGTCAAAAACAGTAATAAGAAACTCATATTCAAATCAGCATTGCCAATACAGAATTAAAATGGGATTCAATTTTGTGATTCCATTCGCAAATCTGCAAAGTAGGAGCACCCATTTTCCTGTGACTGGTCAAGCAATTTAATGATTACAGTAAATACAAAGTTCTTTTGTAAATGACTCTGTTAATGATTGACTTGCATTTGAAACCACATTTCAGCTCTCTCCCTTTCCCCCTTTCCCCTGCCAAAAGAAAGATAATATGAACAGTAAGGAAAACATTTAGAAACAAGACCTAGTGGTTGCTATAATTTGATTCTTTAGACACAACAATGCTTTCTTATCATATAGGTTATTACAGTATCATCAAGTATATCAGGTAAGCAGATCAAGTGCTTTGGAGTCTCTCTATAAATATCAACATCAGACAAGAGACTATGGCTGTTAAGAACTTGGTTCTGATCAGAACAGAATTCCTTAAAATACTGTCTTCCTTTTGATAGCAATTGCCCTTTTGGATGTGAGTGCTTGTCTCAAAAAGATTTGCAGATAAAAAGAGAAACAGCAAAAGGGGCTTACCCCAGGATACCAACCAAGTGTAAACCTATTATAAATGAGAGGTAAAGAGCTTCACAACTCAATCTACTATTTCTAGGTGATATCAGAAAAATACTTTAACATCAAGATCACCAACAAATACTCCCCCACTTTCAGATAATGAGCTATTTCAGCTTAGAGTGACCATATTTAATTTATATTTTCAGCACCTAGCACATAATAGGCACTCATTTGTTGAATGAAGAAAAAAACTCATCCGTCCACAGATAAATTTCAACTAAAATAGTTATAATAAAATGTTTATTGTCTTCACATGAAATTACATGAACTCTACTCCCCCCACATAGTTGAGAACCTTATATTATTTCATTTTAAAAAAATATTTTAAAAATTGCTTATCTACACAACAAAAACAATGTCCAATGTAAAAAAATAAAACTTTTCTAGTTTTGAACTATTGGAATTAGTCTCAGAAGAGCTCATCTGATTGAATTTGATACAAGGTCTTTCTCAGATTACTCTGTGTAATCTCCCAATTCTGCATGATGCTTGCAATACCCTTCAGCTGTCAATCAGTTCTTCTGATCTTTATTCAAGGCCCAAAGAAAGAAGATGGAAGTGGGCTGAGATAAAAAGGATAGTTTTGTCTACGTTCATATAGTGGATACATTCAAGACATATATATGAGACAGAAAGGGCACCTCTGCCACAGACTAAGTCTTTGGTCTGGGTTAAGTTAGTTCACATCTCTGAACTTTGATTTTCTCCTCTTTAAGACAGATTCATCCTAGAATCTTTTAGCTCCAATGTTCTATGATTTGGTTTTAATTTAATAGAGGCACACACTGACACGCTCACTAATAATTTTGCTGGAGTTTGGTCAGTCCTTAGCAAATCAGAAGCCAAATACTGCTCCACTTCTTATTCCACATCTATACTTGAGGCAGAAGCTAATGGAGAGCTGGGCTCCAAAAAGGCCCCAGTGCAATTCTCATTTTTGGCTGGAGCAATGCCCGTATGTAATTCAATAATTTAAATAGTGTCTAGGTTTAAATGCCAGAGCGTTTTTTGTATTTTTTTTCCTGACACTGCACACTGGAATTACAGGATGAACTCTGTTCTACTGCTGCCCTATTCCCACCCCTAGAGATTCTGCTTAATTGATCTAGGTGCAGCCTGGGCATCAAAATTTTTATCAGCTCTCTGGGTAATTCTAACCTGAGAAAAAGGTGACTATTGGCATAGAGCAGTGATCCTCAAACTTTAATATGCATCAGTCACCTGGAGGGAGTATTCAAACAGATTGCTGGGTGCCCTACTCAATTTCTGATTCAATAGGTCTAGGGTAGAGCCCAAGAATTTGCTTTCCTAACAAGTTCCCAGGTAATGCTGATGTTTTTGTTCAGAGACCTCACTTTCAGAACCACTGCCAGTAAGGAAATATTGGTGGTGGCACCTGAAGTCCTGAGTTTAAATCCTGATTCTATTATTACCACCTATGTAATCTTAGTAGAACAATTTATTCTATTTTCTTTAGTGTCTTTTTAACAATACTTAGACTTCAGAGTTGTGAGGCATGGAGAAACAGTGTTACCAATCAGGGTTTAGTTTAGTACCTGGCACAGAATGTAGTAACAGGTATTAATTTCCTTTTTCTATTATACATGTCTAGATGGTGTGATTAAGTTAAATCAATAGCATTGGTTAAAACCTGGCAGGAAAAGAGAGACGACTGAAGCAAACAACGTCTTATTAGAATTCTATGTATAATATAGGATGATAAATGTAGCAAAGTGTTTTAAGTACATGTCTTAAAAAAGATTTTCATTCAGTTTTTAAAACTTTGAACATAGTAATTTAGGTGGGAAGAATATTAGCTACAATCGGTAAAGTGATAGAAATGTTAGGTTCAATCTATAAATAGGATGAATTTTTTAATGACCTACAATGGACTCCAATACTTCATCTATGACAATAACTTAATTTTCTAGAGAATCAGAAATAAGAATATAATTGAAGTAGCATACTTGCCTAAACCTTTACTATATTGATATTTAAATGCTATTTAATTCCAGAGAAAACCTGAATTATTTTTTTTTTTGGTAGGAGTTTATTAATTAATTAATTAATTTTTGCTGTGTTGGGTCTTCGTTTCTGTGCGAGGGCTTTCTCTAGTTGTGGCAAGCGGGGGCCACTCTTCATCGCGGTGCGCGGGCCTCTCACTATCACGGCCTCTCCCGCTGTGGAGCACAGGCTCCAGACGTGCAGGCTCAGTAGTTGTGGCTCACGGGCCTAGTTGCTCTGCGGCATGTGGGATCTTCCCAGACCAGGGCTCAAACCCATGCCCCCTGCATTAGCAGGCAGATTCCCAACCACTGCGCCACCAGGGAAGCCCAAACCTGAATTATTAAAGTGCACTGGAATCCCTATTATCAACCAAAGCAAAACCTCTACTAATGATGGGATAGGTGTTTTTACTTACATATACCAACAAACAAAAAACAAAATAGCTTTCCTTCCTGCTTGCCATTTGCTTCCTTTTGTATGTCTCAAGGTCCTCTCAGGAGTTAATGTCCAAACCCCAAAAGGAATCCTGGGAGGAAAGCAGGCCCACTGCAGAAGCCGCTGCACATTCCTCCAGATACAGGGAGGGCACCCGAGGTTGTGCCTCCACAGAGGGGCTGGTTGAGGTGAGAACTAGAATACTGAATGCAGTTGTCTAAGTGAGTCTCAGAGGTACTGAACAGTTCAGGTCTGAAGGCAGAAATCCTCTTAGGATTGTTTACAGCAAGTTTCTTCTTATACCAATAGGTGACCCAGAGGCAAGGTCTTAACTGGGGTTTTTATTTTTAAAAGCCTTCCCTTTCTTTCCACTCTGGCCTGATGCCATTACATGACAGCTTTCTTTTTCTGAATTCCTAAGGAAAAAAAAAAGAAAAAAGAAAATGTGTCTGCACGTCTTTGTAGCTGCATCATACTCTGAAAAGTACCATTTCTTTTATTATTGTTCTCAACTATTACTTAACCTGATGATATACTTTTAACTTTCCCATCTACTTATGAATTCTCTTGACTGTGAGCTCCTCAAGGGTCCTTAACTTGTCCCCTTCCTCCATGGAACTTTCTCAAGTGCCTCTATTCTCAGTAACCGTTCCCTTTGGTTTGCAATATAAATTTGACACTAACTTACACTGCCCTGCCTATGGAGGTAATTCTATATTATTTTATGTGTAAAGGTGTTCTCTTCCCAACTGGAACCAAAAAAAACCCCTTTAGGAATGGAGGCTATGTATTTTGCTTCTTTGTAAAAGTCATAACAAAGCTGATGTCCAATCAACATTTATAAAATTCTTACCAGATCATCCATGCTAAAAATTGGACACAACTGACTGCCTGAGGGAAAGTCTTCATACTCTTGCTGTCAAGATTATATAAAGCCTATAGCCTGGCCAGTATATTTAGAGGATGGAAATGATTTTCTTTAAGCCAGAAAATTAGTCTTGGTTCAGCTCTCCTTAGTGCTTTAAAACCAACCTTCAATACCACATGAACAGGAGGGTTCCCACCTCATTTATATCCTTGGTATTCCCTAACATCCATTCATCCATAAGGTTTCTCCTTGAAACATCCACCAAACTTCCCTAGCCCCTAAAACAAACCAAACTCTTTGCCTTCCCCGCAAAATGATTTATTCATTAAAAGCCATAACCAGCGTTCAGAACCTTTCAAAAAACAGTAGCAATCCAAATCCTTTCAACTTAACTGAATTGAAGCAGAGCTGATTTCATGCCCATCCTGCTGGCAGCAGTCCCTTTCTCAGATTTTGCCTGTTAGTAGAAACAGGAAAGACTGGTAGATAGCCTGAGTTTTTTCACTGGGTTGGTTTGGCCCCATCGCCATAGTTATAGCTCTGACCACAGTCATTCCAGCTGATCCTTTAACAGGTCTGTAAGGTACCAAAACAGTCACTAGGGTAGCCCAGAGATTAGTAAGGTTTATAATTACATCTCCTGAGTTTTTTAAACAGACTGACTTGCACAAAGCTGGATTATGGCATTTTACCTCAACTTCACCGCAGCTATTATGAGAAGAAATATTGTTCTAAGATTTTTAATTAGTTGCATCCTCTCTTAAGGCTCACTCTCTCACTCCTGTTATGTATCGAATTCTTCAGTTAAGATTATCCCTTAATTCTTACATCAGAAACCCAGAAACCAGAGTTGCTTTCTATCTCTTTAATTCACCATAAGGCATCACTATTATACTATCATATATGAATACGTGTGTGTGTGTGTGTGTGTGTGTGTGTGTGTGTATTTGCTTTTTTAAAAAAGTAGAAATTCTCTCTTCATTCACCTCTGTTTGATACAACATAGGTGCCCAAGTAGGTAGTTAGAAATTAAATAAAGGACACAAAAACTTCCCAACGAAGATCATTAAAGAGAAAAATCCTTTCTTCCTCTTACTACAGCTGATCTTTGACACATGCCAGGTAAGAAAAAAGGAATCACGCATGGTGATGGGAAGACTGGACCTCTCCCTCTCTGGGTTGCAGCTGAACTTCTATTGGTGGTCCTAGTAAAATATATAACTCTTCATTTGTTCTAAGCAAGTCCTTCTTTCAGTATTCCTTCAAACAATGCCTTTACTCTCCTACTAGAGTATGAGGATTTAGAGATTTCGAGCAGCAAGGTTCTGGTTGGGTAGCAGTCTCTTTAAATTGTGTGTTGGCTATGTAGAGAGAGGGACAGTTATGGGAGAATGGCAGGGGAGGAGGGTGAGAGAAAGAGAGAAATGTATCTTCTTCTCTGGGAGCAGTGGAAGAAAGCAAGCTTTTCAAAGTCGTTGCCGGTATCTCATGAAGGCCCAGGCTGCTACCACGATGAGGGCAAACACTGGCACCAGCACCACAGTTATGGGAATACCACTTGGCTCCCCTTCACTGTGATGTCCTAGAGGCCCATTCTGCACCTGTAACTGGAAGGGGAAGAAAAATGTTAACTCTAGTGACCAATGTGTGTTTACCACAACTGAAATGTCCAAGCTGACACATTACCTGGGTCTACAGTCTCTATACCACCCAAAGCTGTAAACCCCAAGCACTATCGAAGAGGAGTCCTCTCTGTTTGTCCTGAGTTGATACAACAATCTCACCAATTCTTTGGAAACAAAATAAATCTGATGGGGAGGCATTTAATCTTGCTGTGCTACTGACCTAAAGGGACCCCTGAGATAACCTCTTTCTATTTCTGTACTGTCTCCACCAAGCTATATGTGTATCATACCAGGAAAATGAAGATATGAGGTGAAGCCTGTTGATCCTATAGGGAGCCTGGAAATTACTGGCCAGGGGCAGGGGGTGTCCATCTTTCTAGAAAGATTATCAGTCATCAGAGTGCAATAAGAGCAGATCTGAGCAATGTTAACACAGGTGCAATGCCATTATTTAGAAATACTTTCCAATTCCCAAAAGGTACCCACTCCTTCCGAAGGTGGGGTCCTGTCCTTCATCTTTTCTGTAATACTAGGCAAAAATAAAGGTGAAACCTATATGGAACGGAAGTAAAAGACTCAAAGGTAAATAAGTAAAAATAAATCATATCCTAAGTTATAATTTTTCATTGCCTAAGCATTCCATTTTGAGGCTGGTGGTTTTTCTTTATTTCAATCAATTTTGTAAAACGTAGCCTTTCTTAACATTACCTTTTTTTAAAACCGTTTTTTAAAACTGAAGTATAGTTAATTTACAATGTTGTGTTAGTTTCAGATGTACAGCAAGGCGATTCACTTATATACATATTCTTTTTCAGATTCTTTTCCATTATAGTTATTACACGATATTGAATGTAGTTCCCTGTGCTATACAGTAGGTTCTTGTTTATCTATTTTATACATAGTACTGTGTATATGCTAATCCCAAACTCCTAATTTATCTCTCCCCCCTCTGCCCCCACTATCCCCTCTGGTAACCATAAGTTTGTTTTCTATGTCTATGAGCCTATTTCTGTTTCATAAGTAAGTTCATTTGCATCACTTTTTAAGATTCCACATATAAGTGATATCATACAGTATTTGTCTTTCTTTGTCTGACTTACTTCACTTAATATGATAATCTCTAAGTCCATCCATGTTCCTGCAAATGGCAATATTTCATTCTTTTTTTACAGCTGAGTAATATTCTATTACACACACACACACACACACAAACACACACACACACACCCCACATCTTCTTTATCCATTCATCTGGACACTTAAGGTTGCTTCCATGTCCTGGCTATTGTAAATAGTGCTATGAACATTGGGGTACATGTATCTTTTCGAATTAGATTAACATTAACTTTTAATAGGTAAGTGGCAGCAACTGTGATGCCATCTTTAGTTAGATTTAATCTCCTCATTACAATCCATGAAACTCTGACCCCCTCAATCTGAAAGACAAGACTGAATAAACTACCTTTTCTATCCTCTATCCCACCTCTACATCTTTCATTCATTTCCTGATGAGATGTCCTGAGAGAATATGCTCAGTAGAAAGACATGGTTTTTAGGGCTAGGCCAATTCCTTGACCAGAAGAATCTGTTTTGTTTGGAGTTATTTATAGATGTTTCCTACAAAATGAACCTTGGAAATCACTTCTCACATGCCTTCAAAAAGAACTCTAATCATATCTAAAGTGTATGCCTGTATTTGTTTGCCTTTACCTATTGCATACATTCTCCCATGCTTTCGAAACAAAGAAGAGCCAAGGCAGAAGCAGCTGAATACCAATACGTCTCCTATCAACCTGTTTTCCAATCCAGCACACTGAGATTCTGCTTGCAACCCCAGCTGTTTTCTCAGATATCTTTTGTGCCTTGCCCTCTCCACTTTTTTTTTACTATCTCCTGTTGAACTGTGAAGCCTCACTCAGGAGTTAATGAAGCAAAGACAGCATCAGTTCAAGAGGGAGTAACTTTAAAGGTACAATTAAACTGTGTTGTAAATGCATTCCAAAGTCTTTCGTGCTACGGGAGGAATTATGTCCACTCAGGCTTCCCTTCTCATCATCCAAATTATAAAACACTAAGAACTAAGGAATGCATGTAGAATAGGTGCTAACTTGACTGAATTCTGAATCCCATTTCCTTTTTCCTGGAGCTCCCCTTTGAGCACTAGAACTTTGGTCAAGAGGATCCCCAAGTTGATAAGAAAAGGGTTCGTTGTGGTGATAGGGAAAAGCAAATAGTGGGTATCAAAAAACCCACCATCGTTGCACTTAAGAGTTTCATAAATAAGAATGTTCAAGGGCAGACATATGTTTCCTTCCCTAGTAAGAAATAAAATTGATTCTGGTTGTATTTTTCCCCATTTATTTTAATTTGGTTGTCAAGCTTTATCTTTAGGGCACATTACCTTGAAGCTAGGACCTGGGTTGCAAACATACTGTTATAAATTTCCTTTAATGATAAGCAGAAGTCTCAGAAGACCCCTGCCTGTGCCACACAGGTTCTTCAAAAGAATGACAGTGAAAGGAAGAAAGCCAAACACACTACTGAAAATTACACCACATGATTTGTTCACAACGTTACAAAAGCCTGGTGGCAGCAAATGACACCTACCCTGTGCTGCACTCTCAGGGACACAGCATAGCCTGCATTACGAAAGAGGTCTACAGCATCCTGGTGCAGCAGGTTCTTTAGGTCTTGGCCGTTTACCTGCCAAAAACAGCAAGGAAAAGTAGTAAGAGACGTAGAATGTGAACTCTCATAAGTCAAAGATTTACTTTCATGTGACCAAAGATTTAAAAAACAAACTTCTACAGAGCAAATTCCAAGGGCTAGAAGAAGGGGTAAAGTTACTTAGAACTCAGAGTAACTTTTTTCATTTTTGAAGCTATGTTTTCCTAGAACTGAGGTTACATGGGCCATCTGAAGAGTACCTAAGTTTACAACAACAACAACAACAACAAAAGGAATCTCTCCTTTCTCTGAGCTCCTACTGCCTGCCCTGTTTTGACACTTGGGATTCTGTTACTGTATTTGTATGTCTTCCACAAGCATCAACCTGCTTCCCTACAGCTAACATGGTCTCCCAGGTTACCACTCTATCCTTTATATGTCTAATCCCTGGCATGGCCAGCTTCAGCTCTAGAAATACAACTCTGAGAAGCTCTTCCACAATTTAGTTTGATGTGGTACAAATCTACTAGCTCCTTCTATTGCTCTTGTTTTCTTTTGAACAATTTCCCTTGATTCCATGGATATCCCTATCCTCCTCAAATTTACTAAAAACCGCATTTCTGTGATGATACAAACTTCTAAAATGTTTTGGTGAAGGTGAGTCCTACTACTTAAAGGTGAGAGATGTGAAGGACTCTGGTATTAACACTCCTCAGTGTCAGGAGTGACACCGGCCACAAGTGGTATCTATTCTATGCTGCACTCAGTGACACAGCATAGCCTACTTTATGCAAAATCTACGTATCTTTTATACATGTCAATGTCAGCAACGGCAGCAAGAACATCTAATATATTTGGTAGGTTCTGTGCTATATGTTTTACATACATTCTCTCACTGAGTAATCACAATAATCCTATGAGGTAGACAGACACTATTTTTATCTTGTTTTCACAGATGAAAAAACTGAAGCTTAGCAAGGCTACGTAATTTACCCAAAGTCATAGTAAGTGTAGAAGCTAGGGCTATAGGGATTTTATACCCTGGAAGGAAGACTAAAGTGCCCTGGCCTTTTACTGCTCCTTCTGCACTATTATTCCTCCACCTTGACTCACCAGCTATTCTTTCCTCAGCTGAAGATGAAGTCACTGACTTATTCAACCTTCTCATCTTCCTTGTCACAGTTTCCCTTCTCCAAGAGGTTCAAAATTGTCCCTCCACTCTATTTCCTGCCAATACCCTTTTGAATTAATCGATCAACACTTTGGCCTTATAAACTGTCTACCTTTCCAAAGTGAAGAACTCCTGCTCTGCTCCATTCTAATCGCCCATTGGCATAAGCCTTCAACTTCAACATTAGGCATGCTACAGCTCCAATATCTCAAACTCTTAAAAAAAACAATCTCTACTTTCTTCATACTTCCTATACCTCTGTGAATTCCCTCTTTATCCTCATCAAAGCATTTTACACATCTAGGAGTTCCTATTATTTCAAAAAAGCACTTGGAAAACTATTAGAATCCCTCATCCCCACAATCTTCTGCCAGCTTTCCAGTCCTAGGCAACACACTGCATTTACTTTCCTTGTCATCAGTGCGTTTAATATTCCTAGAGAAAGATCCACAGTCACATTCTCTACCACAGACGCATACTAGCTGGCTCCTGCTGCATCCTTACAACCCTTCTCATCTGGTGAACTCCCTAATAAATATGCAGTGGTAGCTGTTCCAAGACCTTTCCTACCATCCAACTCCAACTCCAATCACATCTCTCTTCTCAGCAGATTCCTTCGCCTTATCTTTCTTGAGAATACTGAGAACTTCTGACAAACACTTCTCTCCACTTTCTTTCCTTTCCCCTCAGTTCCATCTTAGTGCTGCTTTCCCCTTACTTCTGAATTAGAGTCCTTTATCTAGGCTAACCCATTTGCTAGTGCTCTTGATCATGTTCCTTCTAGCCTCCTGACAGAACTTAAGCAGTCACTTACCCTCTTGATTCCTTAATTATTATTGTTCTCTGCTCCTTCTCAACTAAAGTTACCCTCATCTATTAAAACACACACATACACAAGTATTCCTTGGAACTCACCATCACCCTCTTCCCATCTTCTTTCTCTCCTCTTTCTTTGCCAATCTTTTTGAAAGAACTGTTTCATGCGCTGTCTCCACTTCCTCACCATCCGCTCCCTCTATTTCCTTGTGTTCTCAATATATGAGGTGGGGGGGTGGGGGTGGTAGGGAAGAACATGCTGCCCCTGCAGGTCAGCAGTAACTTCCAACCACCAAATCCTATAGCCCTTTTTCAGTGTTCAGACAACCTCCTCCCTTCTGCAGTTCTCTCTTTTCTTAGCTTATGAATACTTGGATCTCTTAGTTCTTACACTATTCTGTATCCCTTCCTTTCTTCTTAAGGTAAGTAAATATTCCTCAGTATCAGTAGGCCTTTGTCCTCTTCTCTCCCATGGTGAATTTTCACAATTTCAACTATAATCTGCTAGACAATTCCCACATTTTCATCCCTACTTCTACTTCTGGATTTGCCGGTTTCCTGCTGGGTACCTATTCTGCCAGCTGGGGCATATTCTGTTAAGACCCCAACTCAACATATCCAAAGCCTCTTTTTTATTTCCCACAAAACCAAACTATCCTGACTCCTTTCTTATTGACACTACCATTCCTTCAGACTAAAATTTTGGTAATATTTAAAACCTCTCTCTGTCAATCTTTACATACAATATATTGGCAACTCCTGTAGCCTAACATAATAACATTACTCATATGTTATTTTCTTTCTATTGCCCCTCTCTTTAGGTTATGAATACTCTTAGTTGAACTACTGGGATCGCCTTCTCTCTAATTTACTTTCCTCTGGGTCCTCCCTCATTCTAACCTATTCAAACATTACGTCTCCAGATCAATCTTCCTAAAGTATAATTCTGTTCATGCCACTTTATTGCTCAAAGACAAAAACAAACCTGGGAGCACGGGAGGAAAGA